TAAAATTTAAAAATATTGAAATTTAATTATATTGATATATGGTCTACTTGAAGGCACGTATTTGTCGATATATATAGACCCAATCTATTTGGTGTCTGTGCTAGTTCGCTAATTTCGCAAGATTTTCGGACGAAAGCTCCACTCTGATATTGAATTTTTAGAAATAGCCATGTATATTATCTCAACTTCTTCTGACCGAATCGTCGTTGACGACCTACACAGAAAAAAAATTTCGAAGGACTTAAAAGCACATCCCAGATTCAGATTTAGGCAGGTATAGTAGTTCTCGGCACCGCGTGCACCATCCAGATTTCCGCTGGAAGTGGACCCTGCGTATCGGAATCATCCGAAATTGAAGGCAATCCAACGGTCCAAGCCTCGGACCTACTTCTAGACGATGGCATGGAGGAATTAAAGGATCCAATTTTCGAGCTGCCCGCATATAATAAATTCAGGATATTAATACGCGCCTTTTCTCGTATTCGATGAGCTCCTCATAAGCTCCATCTAAATCTTTGAAAGAGATCTTCGCTTGACTATCTAAGCTCAATTATGATCATAAATAAAAGATATATTCATTATATAGAAATATATGGCAGAATCTTCAATTCTATAGCGGTTGTATACTCCGTGGAGGCTCGATTTGCCTGGAAGGAGTCCCTATCTAAAACGAATCAATTATAGATCATATCAATCTATATCTATAACGCTCAATTTTCAAATATTCTGCTCTATTCTACTTACCTAGCTTTTGCTCTGCAAGCACGAGGTGCCTTGAGATAATCTTTCCTGCCATCGCAGCATACTACAGCTTGCTTGACAGGCCTATGAGCACAACATTCACGAGAATCTTCTTTATAAATAGTAGCATGCCTTCGCTGTCAAGCACCAGATATATATATCCTGATCTATAGATATCGATAGTTTTATTTCTTGTGCCACGTCTGGCTCTGCTATGAATATGGTATGAGCGTTGATCCTCCAGTCGCTTATCAAAATTTTTACTAAACCCTGCGGTGAAATACCATAGCCTCGGGGATTCGTATCCGAAATCAGGAATATAAAGTAGTCATCTGTCTGATTTTTGAAAATTCCAGTCATTGCCCTAATGGTAGCCGAATGTCATCCCTACGGACGAAAGAAGCCATGATCTGTCATGGCATTGATAATGGCAAAGCGCTCTGCCCAATTGCGTGGAGGATTGTCCATCCGGATAAATAATAATCAATCTGTATCATTACTGTGACCGACGATGTCAAAAAGATACTTGTGCTCCAGCCCGACCAAACCCTCTATGACCATCGCCATGGAGGCACAAAGCCGATCAAGCCGTCCATTATCATTGAATATTGCCATCGAAATATTGACGTCATCTATAAATAAGGGTCGTTTTAGAAAGACTTGTGCTACGAATGGATCCTCATATTAATCTCGATATTTGAAAAGAATCTTCTTATCCGAATAAAATCTATAATTTTATTATCGTCTAATTCTTCTATTATTTTTCCTCATAATCAGGTCCCCTCCTTTTCTTTGATTTCCGCCGCTTCAAGAATCCCCCGCAATTATATCATTTCTTTCCCTGCTATGAGGAAAAGCTCGTCATATTATCTAGATAGAAATATCATATCGATATTTTATTGATTATTCTGGATTTCGCAATCATTTATTCGATGATTCAATCGCTCATAATTCAAATTGCTTCCGAAGTATTGAATGCTAGAAAATATGCCGATCATAAATATGGATCTGAAGAGATAACTATATAATATATAGCTGCAAATTTGGATTATGAGTCGGGGATATTCGACCGAATTAAAAGAAGAAAATATATAGAATTATTTTCAATATCTATTCTAAAATTAGTTATAATAATCTCGGATTGGCGAAGATATAGATTATTATTTAGAGCGTCTTTCTCTTAATTTATAAATAGGATTAGATGGAGCTATAAATATTAATCGGATCATATATTCTGGAATTATCAGAAGAATTGATTTTATAGAGGATTTCTTATAATTCTATTCAAGATAATTTCTGATAAAGATTTTTTTCCTCAAATTTCTAATTTCATTCATAAATTAAATGATCTAAGAAATATCTATTTAAATTTCTTAAATCGAAATTAATCTTATCTTTTATCTCCAATTCTAGATATCAAAATTATTTTGATTGAATTATTTATTATTTTATTGATTATTATTTAAGAAGATTAAATAAATATAAATTTCAGAATATATTTTTTAGCATCAATTCGATATGAGAGGGAGAAAATTCATGATAAAGATTCTATCAAAGGCGATATGATTCGAATCTCCCAAGATTTTTTTATATATATAAAAGTCCCCGACCACCCCCCCAATTCGAGGGAAGCTCGGAAAGATGAAGAAGAAAGAGAGATAAAGAAGAAATAACAGAGATCCAAGAAGGAGACTACGGACTACCTTAGTATTCCTCTCAGCGGGGAAGAGCAGTGGAGCCGGCCGAGTCCAGGGGCAGCCGGGACGTCCCCTTAGAAACTTGGCGGAAATAATCTGGACCGGGAATCATCCTGAATAAGACCTCTATGATACCAATTCCTCTATATCCCCGGCGGGAACGACCCGATGCATATTCAAAGCTCCGTGCATCCCTTTTTATAATTCGAGAAAATAGATGCGTTGAATAAAGATATTTGGCCTCGCCGGTACGAGATTATTGATTTTGATCAATTTTAGAATTTCTTTCGATCTTACTAAAATTTTCGAGTTGGCAGCTTCTCATCGCATAATGGTTTCTCTAGATCCGTATTTTCGGTCGGTATATTTTCTAGTCGTATTCAATATTTCGATAGCAGTTCGGGCGATGAGTGGTTGAATCCCCGGGCAAGTGGACGAGGTCGCAAAGCGAGAGTATTTCCTCCCAAAATTGGATTTTAGGAAAGATTGAGGTATCAATAAAATATCGATAAAGTATATCTAAATAGATTTAATAACTAATATATTTAATTCTAGAATAAATCGTAAAATGGTCAATATATAAATATCATATTTATTTTCTTATTATATAGAATTCCATTACCAAGAATTCAAAATATAATAAGAAAAATAAATATTGAGCTAAAGATATACATAATTCAAAAATTTCAAAATTTATTGAAATAATTATATATATATATCTATTCTAAATCAATATTTATCTTATTTAAAAAAAATATAATATAATATAATAATTCTTAATATTATATTGGAAAAAATCATAATAGAGAATTTAAAATATTTTCTTCAATTCTCATAATTCATTATTCAAATATTTTTTATAAGAGCAAATAATATTATTAAATTCAGAATAATAAAGATCTAGATTCTATATTAATTAAAGAATATGAAATTTATGAATCATCTTTCTCTGAGTTCTCGAAATATATTCTAATCTGTTAGATGGTATAAGTAAAAGATTTTTCAAATGTAAAGCCGTATATTGATATCGTTTCAAGCCACGCACAAATTATTTATAAAGCGCACACAATATAGAACCTTTCAAATATATGAATGTTGCAGTCATGTATACCTTTGCCAGCTGAGCTTGTGCGGCTGAGATTTTGGAGTGCCATGGACCGGACTTGCTTGACGAAGTTGTTGATAGTGCTTTGCATCCTCAAGTGAGAGCTGCACTGTACAGATTCTGTGCTCCCCCTAATCGGATCCAACGCCAACTCCATCAATAGAATGCATGATCTACGCGTGAGAGCTGATTGAGATTGCAAGCCTCAACCTCAAAGAGGCCCACAAAGCCATAAAATGATACAATAAAGCCTCGTGGTTGAGACTGCCGACTGTGCGCCCTGCCAAAATTCACTATCTCCAGAGGTCCACTTCTCCCTGGCTCAGCCTAGTACTGGGGACTGCCGCCATCCCAAGCCCCGTTCTTGCGCCCATGTGTCTGATCAAAGAGCCGCAGTTTCTTGAGTGTAGATGTCTTGTCCGTGCCTGTCGCCGAAAAATGTTCCGCCTCCAAAGCTTTGCGAAGATCAAGCACCTGCTGACGCTCTGCTGCGCTCCGTTCCCGGGGCCGCACGAATAGCGCAGGGAGGGTCCAGGCGCGGCCCACCACGCAGCGGTCGAGGTCTGGTTGACCCGGCAAGAGCTCGACAGAAGCACCATCGCAAAGAGTTCCACCTTCAAGTATCTCGCAATTCAGTCCCGCATCACAGTAAAACTCTTGAAAAAGGCCTTTCTGCCTTGTAAGGCCCTCGAGATACATGCATGGAACCGAGGCCCGATGCGCAAAGACCCGAATGTCTCCAAGCCGAAACTCTCGGCCCACCAGCTCTGAAAGTGGGTGCAGGCCGCGAACCACCACATTCCGGCGGCAGTTTTGGGGGCCGATCTTGAGATGGTACTTGTCTGCCAAGAGCTCCATGCCCTCGGCCGCAATGAGCGTCATCTGTCGGCCAGGCTCCGGGGTGTTGCTATAACGACCCCTGGTTACGTCCGTGTTGTAACGGTCGCCGACGATGCCCTTCCCGGCCACACACTCCACTGAACCTTGCCGCTCCATGGCCTGTGACGTTCCAGGGCAGGTCCAAATTGATTCCACCACGCCCAGCTGGCTCGCCTGGCGCGGCGGACTCCGCTGGCTCCGCTGGCTCCTGCGCTGAGCTTTTCCGGGCAATGCTGTCCTCTTGTGGTGCATGAGGTAGATCAGCAGCGAAAGCGCCGCAGTCACTGCAAGAGTGGGCACTCGAAAGAGCTCCATGGCCCAAGCGCAGTTCAAGCTCCACGAACAGTCCAAAGGAAAAGGTATCTTGCGGCTACGTTCAGATCTGCATCTGTCACAAGTACTGCACAGTGCTAGCTTGACATGGATTCAGTAATTTGATGTCGAGAACATGTCTGACATGTGTGGGAATGGCTTCGGGAAAGCTGTAACAAACTGCGACGCTGTGACACTAGATTCAGGAAAACAACTTCTTTTTGCGCACATCAGCTCGAGGCGGGATGGGAATAAGTCTCACCACCTCATTGCTGCTTGCAGGCCTGCGTCACACTTCTTTCGCGTTGAAGGGATCCGTGACCCTGACTCGCCCGCCCATGCCTCCTCTGGCATTCCTGCAGCCATTTCTTTCATCGCTTTTGTCAACTCCTGGCTAGAATCAGAGCAACATCAAACGGAGAGGCAAAGGGGGAGGAGTTCAACAACAACTCAAAGTGCCCGAACAAACTCCAACCACGACGTCGACGATGTCTATCCATAAATTCCCGCGTGGCCTCAGGGTCGTCGGCAATCTTCCTGATCAGTTCCTGAATGGCATGCGAAAGAGAGAGAGAGAGAGAGAGAGAGAGAGAGAGGGGAGACTCGTCAGGGCCGGTCCTGCTCAGGTCCAGCGAGTTGTGAGTCGAGGCCCATGGTCTTCATGAAGTCCTGACGCAGCACACGAAACTCTTGTTTCTTGCTGGAACTGGCCGCCGTGACAAAGGGGATACACGGGATCGCAGGACGCACCACTTGTTCGGGTTACGGAGGCTCGATGTGTGGAGGCGTTGACAGTAAGACATCTTGCGAGCCCAGAACTCCGAAACGAGCCTCGAAGGACTCGGCTCCTTCTGTGGCTTCTTGCGGAACGATCTCGCAGGAACATCGCTCAAGATCATCACTGCTTGGCTATGGCAAAGATAGCCCTGAATCGACCTGGGACATGACTTCTTCAGGTGGCTGTCCGAGATTCTGGAGCTCGTTCAGCATTTGTTGCACCTGCGGCAACAAGAAAGGTGCCTATCTGCCAGAACTCCGAAATCCTGGGCCTGATCCCTTGCAGAATCTGGAAGAGGATCTGGATTCTGCCTGGCTTGCCCGGATCCGCTAACCCTTCTTCACTGTGACCGACAAGAGCTCATGCAAATTTTACAAGATTCTGTAAGAATCCTCGCCAGCAGCTCTTGTACACACTGACGATTTGTCTGTACAACTTCAACTGAGCCTGCAGGAAGAACGGCATTCTCAGCATCGCAGATCACTCGGTGCAACACCTATCGGCTGTGCCGCGTACCTCATACCGACTCCTGTCTGCTTTTGACAAACCTGGCAAATGTGAATCGAAACAATACAGCCACCGCGCTCATTGCCCTCAGAAGAACAGCACAGGCGAACCCTTCTTCTCTTTCAGATAGGGTTCCAACCTTGATGCAACAGCGCGATGACTTCAGCATTGCGTTCGGAGAGATGGATTAAGCTCACGGCTTATCAGCTATTTGCTGCAGCGGTTCTGTCAACAGATCGCTGGACAACATGGACCTTTCCATGACTGCAACTCTATTGAACCCAGCGGATCCGGCGCAGGGAGCAAGCCGAGAGATTAAGCCGCTGACGACATCAACGTGGACATTGACTTCTCAAAGTCCTTGTCTGAGCCTGCCCCATCTCTTCACTCGCCAAGAGAATATCTTGCACGACATGCTGCCCGACGCCTGCCGCCTGCTCAAAACTCTTCATGAACTTCTGGAGGACATCCTAACGGACTTTGCAGTACTCGGAACCAGAGCGCTGGCCAGGCGCTGGATCGCAGACGTCTGACTCTGTCTGGTGAGGCTGGATCTGCCTCACTCGCATCAGTGGAAGGTGATGAAGATGCTACTGCTGCTGGAGCTGCTGGAGCTGCCGCTGCCTGTCGCAGGAGCACAAATCATGTTACTGCACATTCAAGGTCATTCACGGCATCTGCATCGGCCTCGCTGGGTGCGGGCCTGAGCCGACTCTGAAGTAACGAAAGGCAAAGAAAATCTAACCGACCACTGCATCTCGGCATGGAACGTTGAGCCCTGCTGCAATGCATCAGCCATGACCTTCTGAAAGTTTTCGTCCTGTACGCCAGGCACTTTCCGGCCGTCAATTTTCGATGAATTGGAGCGTCCTGAAAGCTCTTGACGAGATCCTTGAAAAAATCCTGTAGCCGCGAGGCAAAGCGACGCATGCTAAGGGCTTTCGCCACGTGCAGGGCCAGAAGCCTCACCAGGAGGTTGGGAAGATTGGTCTTGTGGCAGCTCTTTCGTAAGCTGCTTAACGACCTCGAGTGCTCTTTCAGGGCAAGAAACGACGGTTGCGGCATGCGGCGGCCAGCCAGCCTCGCCAGCACTGCGTCCGGCTTCTGCGGGAGCTGCCTTGACAGGGTCTGCAGCGTCGAGATGACAAGGAGCAACGAACTTGTTCACTTGGCCTTGCGGTCGTCCAAGGCAGTCTGTACACCAGTTAACGAGTCAGCGATGAGATTGTCCAAGTCATCTGCCTGCACACTCCAGAAACGAAAGCATCTGCCAGGCGACGGCACAAGGCACTCCTCCATGGTCAAGATGCGAAGTCCTCGCGAGCCATGAGTAGAGTAGATGCTTCAACAGCGGCACGAAATTAGAGCTTCTTCCACCACTCTCCTGCACTTTGAAACTCGCAAAAGGAACTGCCGCCAAGCACTCCGGAGACTACAAAACGTTTTGAGGCTTGGCTGCGACGTGTGGCACGACATGACATTGGTGTTCACTTCTCCGAATGTGCGGGACCACCCAGGCCTTTGCCTCAAGCCTCTCTCCTCACATCACGACAGCAAGATCAGCCGAAAGGATCGGATAGCATCGGGTTCAGGCTGGTCATTGCTGTTCCGGGCCACACCTTCGGGGGATTCGACGGGTGCTCGACACATTTGCGACGTCGCGTGAACCACAGTTTCTTTCGGATTTTTGGACAACCTGGCAGAAACAGAACAAGTCAAGCAGGTTCACCGGCAGCCATTGCATGTTGAGGGTTCTCGACAACAAAGCGGTGCACGATGCTCATTTGCTCCAAGCACGTGACTGTTCCTCTATTGTGAGACATCTTTGGTCACTGCAAGGGCTCGTCCTGCCGACCATGTCACTACGATGTACGGTGGACATACCGCATCCAATCTTCAGATACTTTGAAGAGCGCAGAAGCTGCTCCACTGTAACCATGGACATGAAACTCCCGTGATTTACATGCTGCATTCCGGACGTCCGCTTCCTACCGCTTCCTGTCGTGAGAGGTCTTTGCCTCGGCTGCGACCACAGACGCGAAGCTCAGGCAGATCACCGGCGGCTCCGCTTGGCTCCCCTCGGCTCCGCTCGGCTCGAGTTCAGTTCATCTGGCCATTTCGGGCGCCACCGTACACATCCCGGCCCATATTGGACTGCGTCTGTGTCATCATGACCTCAGAGCGATGCAAACCAAAGGAAGAAGCTCGAAGCTGGGTCGCTGGGCCTTCGAAACTGGCCGCGCAAAGGCTGACTCCAGCTCGATGGGTGCACGTGGATCATGTGAGTAGGTGCAGGCCTGCAAAGAAGGCTCAAATTAGAACCAAGTCTGCTGCAGATCTGCAGTTGGCTAGCCCGTGCCGAACTGAACGAACAAGCAAACTCCGTTAATGTTTGGTCCGGTTGGTGATTAGGTTTACTTTCAACAAGCATCCGATGTTCCCTTTGGGCCCTGCTGGTCAAGAAGAGATACAAGAGCTCCTTTCCACGCTTACATCTTGAGATTGCGAGTGCGGCAGAAAAGGGTGCTGCAGGAAGGCCTCCCCGACTGCGCAGCAGCCGCGCTGATGATGAACACACCGCAGCCTCTTTTGCGAGCCGACACTCTTCAGATTCTTTTGAGGTTTTCCTGGAACTCGACAGGACCTACCGAAACCTACCGAAACTTCTGTACACCTGGCAAACACATGGAAGCTACAGCTTGAGCTGATTACTGCGCAAGCCTTTTGTAGCCTGGGTTGAGGGCATTGAGAGGCGGAACTTCCAGCAGCTGATAGAAGTCCTTGTCACCGCCTCAGCTACTGCATTCGACTTCACCCCTCTTACCCCCGGACTGAACTTCTGCAAAAAACAATTGCCATCGGAGTAGCTGTGCTTGAAGCCCTGCCAGGAACTCAGGGCAGCAGAAAGTGCACCGATTGTTTTCCGTGCCCAGACGCATGGGCAAGAACACCGCAATCGAAGGTTCAAAACACAAAAGCGGCTTGAGTCAGAATGATACCAGGAAACGGGCCGAGGAAAGCCAGAAGACAGATGCGCCGGGAGTCTTTCAGGATTCAGCTGTGTTAGGACGACATGTCGGCACTGTCCTTGTAGATGTCATACCACTGGCCTCGCACAGCCTGCATGTGAGTCTCGCAAGGTCCTCCTGACGCATTCAGTGACCAAAGTGAGCCTGATCCAAGGAGGACGTCCGGACTTTCATCTGTCTGGCGATTGCACTGAACACCTGTGGCTTTCCCAACCCCGAAGCTGCGATTCTAGGCCTGCCGTCAGAACTCAAATACTTGCAACTGCTTCACACATACTTTGCGACTGCTGCTGAGCAACACCCTCATCATAGATGTTCAGACTCGCCATACATCTAAGCACCTCGAGCTTTTTCTCCAAAGCAACGCAACATGCATGGTAGCAAACAGGAAGGCTCTCAAACACTTCAGCCAAAGAGCGTCATCTGCCTGCTCAACACTTAGCCTCGCAACTTTCGCAGCCATTACGGGCTTCAAGGCTGTACATGAGCACGGCATGTACCCGTGTTCAGGATGCCCATCCTGAAATAGCCTCTGAAAACACACTAACTGAGAAAACGCGTTTCTCTGCCAGCCTGTCTCTCAGCAAGAGCCTCACAGGGCAACATGCCGACGAGGGCGGCATGCTCACACACCAACAAACACAAGAGTGTCTGTTCTTGCAAGCTCGTGATCCTTTCGTCTCGAAAGCAATGACCCAAACTGCCCACCTCTTCAGCAAGGCATTCATTGCCCTGCACGCCGAGTCTTCAAAAAAACGAAACCGAGAAGACGGTCGGGTCAGCTACGCGAAGTTGGAATCAGATCTGGCGCAGAACAGCATCATTCTGATCATTCCACCATGCACCTCTTGCTACTTGCGACAGGCCTGAGAATGTCGTTGTCGAAAAACTTGGTTCTGGAAAGCGCCCGACAAGCAGCAGCTGCGTCTTCGGGCAGCATCCTGGCATAAACAATGCAGAAGCTCATGCACGCAGGTAGAACAAGCGGGGTTTCAACAGTTAGCCAAACAGTTTCCGTCCACAAGCACGTACTTGCTTGATCGTGCAGGTTTCGGAAGTATGGAGTTTGTACAGTCACTACAGCTGTTCGTGGAATCATGAAAGCAGAACTGACTCAGACCACCCATTACCATGATGCAGAACCCATCATGATTCAGAATCCAAGAATTTTCCGGCAAAATGGCCCGGAGCTGTAGCAAATCTGACTAGGTGCCCAGATTGTCCGGTTTGTTTGCTTGAAGCCTTCTACTTTCATGAGATGCTCGGGTAAGGAGGGTTCCCATGCATTGCCTTGGAAGCTTTTTGAGCAACGCAGGAGCAAGCACCATCATTCTCCCAAATGTCTCCACCTCGAACAGCCAAGAACCGAAGCGAGCAAGTACTTAGGGAGGCGATGACCAGGGACTTTGCAGACATGTGGCACCATCCAGAGTGCCAGCACTAACATCCGCATTTTCGTCCTCACTTCCAGACGGTTCCTGTTCCGTTCGCAGCAGCATTCCAACAGCACCATGCGAACAGGTTTAAACCGTGACAAAATCATGTCACTACCTGAGCCTGCTTCGCTGGCTCATCCAAGGATGCATCTGGATCCGCCTTCTGATCCCTCTCCTGTCACTAGAAAGCATCTGGGAATGACCAGTAGATGAGGGGTCTGCCGCACGTTTTGGCTGACTAATAGCTCAGCTTTGAGTGTGAATGGATGTCCAGAGGGATACTGGCTGTATCCATTCCACTCCCATACATACATAGATACCTAACTACCTGACTGCCTACCTACTTACGTACATAGTACCTACATACATACCTACGCACACACATATCACACAGATACTATAACTACTATAGACTATATACTATACCGCTTCTGGACCATGGTGTACTCAGGATCCTCTGCCTCGTCCTCATCAGAATCCGAATCCATCCAAGCGAACTCCTTCCTGGGCCAGGGGAGCTTAATTTGTTGGCACCCGTGCAGTGTCGACTTACAAAACAACTCTTGTCAGCCAAGCTCGGACAAGCGACTTTCTTCTCCGAGGTTCACCTAGCACGGACGAGCGCTACACCTAAAACCAGTGGTTTTCATGTCTGATTGCAACCGGAAAGCTTTTGGGCGATGACACCTGGCACGGTTGGACCGAGGAGAGCCGTTGTGGAACAAACACACCTGCCCATTGAATCTGAGGCCTCTGCCGGTGCAGTGTCTGCTGCAGGTGGGGCTCCAGCATTCTCTTCCGCCACTGTAACTTTTGTTTCCCGTGTCTTCTTCAACTTGACTTTTGCCACCTTGCATGGCTCGAAATCAGGGAACCAAGGAAAACTAATTAGAAACGACATCAAAGTTTAATTAGGCAAGGGCTCCATCTGCAAGTCATCGGATGATGACTCGCCGAAATCGTCTTGAGCAGCAACGCATACAGCCTTGCGCTTCATGTCGTCCGACCAGCAGGAGCGCCCCAGCCACGTCGGATCTTCTTCAACCAACCATCTCAGATCAGAGCCAAAGCTGCAACGTTCCACATGCTGACAACTTGAACAGGCAGGCCAGAAGCCCGCTCCTTTTCGACCTAACTCCCGTCAACCAACTGGCCTCTCTAGTCCAGCTCATGAAGTACAGATATGTTTTGGTTCAATCTCGGCGTTTTCACGTGGGACTTTTCTCGCACCCTGCAAGCACCACCTGCAAACCATCCACAACGATTGGCAACCAGTTTTGGAAACAGCAAACTAAAGTCAAAAAGGAAATGAGCATGGATCTCGTAAACTCCGTCGGCCGACAAAACCTCAACTAGAAAATTTGGGTTGAGAATCATGTTGTTGTCCAGACGTGTTAGTGCCTCCAACGCCGTGAAATAGCAAAACACCTGGGGCTCCTTTTTAAAATTGTACTGCAATGTCGGATACTTGCAACAGCCTGTAGGTAGTTCGTGTTTGTTCGCCGCAACGAAGCCAAAGCTGTGATTTCACCGTGGGGCCTGCATCACGTTGACATCAATTTCCAGGATCGAGGCCCCACACTCTCTCTTGTGTAGCGGGGTCTCCGCTCCACTATCGATCGTCTACAAGGGAGCTGATTCAAAAT